CATAATAACTGTTAAATATTTTGATTAATTTTGTCGTGTGACTTATGACATACTGTTTATATTTTTTAAAATGAATTAAGGGTGAGGTTGATGAGGCCTCCATTTGTTTTTCCTTCAGAATCCTTGGGCAGAATGCAATTTAAAAAGTCTTCAGCAAAGTAATGTTCATTTGGCAAGGAGAAAAAGTGGCGGTGGAACAGTTTACCATGTGAGTGATCTTGTTTAGAAATTCTCCTTACTGTCTGCCATGCAATTGTTATGATGCTTGTCTAGAGAATTTGGTCTTGGATCAACTAATTAGCCCCAAATTAATATTTTTCTTTAATATTCTCATCTCTTGTTTGCTTGATATTGTATTGATTTTTAAGGAGAAATTCTGTCTTGGTCACTCATGGGAGTTAAAAGGGTTAAGCTTGATTTTCTCTTCTCTGTCTTTTAATAAAGTAAGTTTTGTAAGTTAGAATAATTAACAATTTACAAGCCAGTTTTGTGTGACAGCTGCCATGAAATATCAGGTGATTCTGAAAGATGTTCTTTCCCCTTCACTGAAGCCATTGTGGACATGGAATAAATCAAATGCAATTTTTTTGTTTGTGCTTCAGCACTTGTTTTTTTTTTTTAAGATGCTGTTTGGCAAAGTTCATAGTCAAGAGTTTTCTGCCCCAAAAGCAACTAATTTTTATAAAATTGTTCAATGTTTTTTTTTTTTTGGGGGGGGCGGGGAGTTACTTTCTTACCATTGTTAAAATTTTGATTGATTATTTTTAGGATTTAGGAAATGTCAATATCTCATTCTTTACTGCTCGTGAGCTCTATGATCGCAAGGGAAACTTAGCTCTGATTGTGAAAGTATTACGTGAAAGATGGAAACTGGATGTTGAAGCTTCTCCTAGAGATGACATACTTATTGATGGAAAATTTAAAATATCCTTTTAGTGCAGCATTTGGTAACACACTGGGCTATGCACTTCCTAGAAATAGGCTAGTAGGGATGTGCCACTGGATGGGCTTGCACTTTTATGCAAAGATAAACTATTATGAAGGTGCATTTTTAATAGAGTCACTGGTCAGAATGGAGTTGCACATTTTTAGGATTTTGGGGGTAAAAACTCTGGTAAGTAGGGATTTAAGAAATGGGAAGATTTGCAGTTAAAAAGTTGTTACCATAGTACTCAAAGTGTCTGTGATGGAGTCTATAATTAGCCAAAGAGTAGAAGTCAGTGGCAGATACTGAGCAAAAACTGTACCCAATTATACCTACTTGAATGTACAGGATTGGTTTGACAGAAGCAAGGTGTTTTCTTTCAAGTTATAGTTTAGCCCTTAACAGAATAGTCACATTTCAGGTACATCGTCTAAGCTTGGAAGAAATATTGCATTTCATCACTGTACTTTGCTCTTGGATGTTGATGAAGCCTTGCTGAAATCACTTCTTCATCCTTGTTATGTAAGTTTATTTTTACCTCTGACACCCCTGTTACTGCCAAAAGGGGAGTCTTTTCATGGCCGCTTACAGCAGTGATTACAAACGTTCGATAGGAGGGAGAGGTTTGAACTAATGAAGAACCAACAAAAAATACAAGCTTACAAAATGCAGAAATATAAAACTGAAAGGCGGCTAAAGCGAACGCGATGAACATAATAACTAGGAACTTACATTGTTTCGGCGCTGTAGGCCGCAAAAAGGCAACTCTAAACCAGATGTTCTCTTAAGACAAGATGTTATCTCGATGAAATCAATGATGAAACTAAAAAGCTAGAATATTGACAACATGTAAATGATACCGAACGCAGGAAAGAAAAACAAAACGTATTCCCGAAGGAATGCTAATGAACTGAAATAAAATGCAGAGAATGCTAAATTCTACAACCCCAACATCAGTACACATATTCTCCATACTGTTCTCTATACATTTCCTATGGTGCTGACAAGGAGAATTTAGTTATAATAAACAATCAAGAGCTTCTTGAGTATGTGATCATTTCCTTTATTCTCACGACCTAAATGGGGGAATCAGGAGTGATATTGTAAGGGGAAGTTAGATGCCAGTCACTCTTAAACACGAAGGCACACTATATAAGGAGGTCTTCCCTGGGAAGACCTAGGCTCATTTGTCACTCATCGTTGACGTGTGTGGGTCAAATTTAAATGCTGGTAGATGAACAAAAGGAGCTAATGAGATATCTATTGTTTACTTCCACCAGCATGGTGGCATGAGGTAATGTGCGAACCACCTACTTCGATCTCAAATTTACCGCCACAAATAAAGACAGTTTCCATTGGAGAAAGGAAATACAAATCTCAAAAATTCTTGTATTGTGATGAAGACATAAAACAATTTTGAGGAATGCGCCCGCTGTTCACTGCTTTGGAGTAGCTGTAGCTCAAGCTGACTTGACTCTAAGAGTTCTACATCACACGACGGTTGATTGACAAATGGTCCAGTGGGACCTAAGGCTCCTTTTATAGCGCGCCTTCGTGTTTAACTTGCGTTTTTCTTTCC